TATTAATGGAATATTTGGTAAAACGAGTTCATTAAATATTTAATTTTTATTGGCAGACGACCAACCTTCAGTTTGTTTATCTCATAGACAGATTGAAAGCAGTCCTCCTGCATGGACAGTTTGTCCTTTGAAGTATTCAAAATGCAACATATTTGGATTTTCAACACATTTTTCCAGTTGAAATCTGTCCAGAAGCAAATACAAGAGTCAGAATTCCTTTGTTCGTTTGTTGTTGGGTGACACTTTATCTCTGAATGTCTTTGCAAAGGTCTGGTAATGGTAGCCTTTAGCTCAGTCCAAAGCTTTGGTAGCGTTGCGTGGTTTAAGATTCAGTCCACCTCGGCCTCCTCAGGGATTTGTCTGGCCTTTCAGTGAGTTCAACCAGTGGTTAGTGAGAGCAGCACCTCTGCCTGCTCCGCGGGGCTGCTGTACCACGTCATACTGCTAATCAGCCCTCTGGAGATAGAGACAAAAATTCGCTTTTTACTATGAGTGATTGCCGGTCCTAAATCAGGCTAATGCTAATACTTTACTGAGAGGTTTTGTGCGGGGTGTTTTATGCCTGTCCTTGGCACTGCATGGCAGGCTCCCGCTCCTTGCCAGGCGTGATGGTTTTAGTGGTTACTGCCAGGCCGGGCCTCGTTCTCTCTCGCCGTTCTACCCCATCCATCTCATGCCGCTTCTGTCTGAAATTCAATTGACCTTTTGTTCCACCTCACAGTGAATGGGCGCAGGCCATCCACAGCCAATAGCCAAGCCATAGCTCTCATACCTCTTTATTTGATCTGTCCCGCTAAGTCCAGTCCAGTGCTTTCATTACCTACCTAAACACTCTCTGCACACCCCTTTTTTCTCCACTTCTCCACAGCTATACCCTCTTTTATCTTCCCTGTCCTCCTTCTTTTGGTGCTCTTAAATATAATGGCGATCGCCTTCCATTTGTTCCCACTCGGTTCAAACGTGGCACATTTCGCCCCTCTTCCCCCAGAGGACTTCATTCTTGACTTTGTAAAAGTACTTGGGGTTTTTCCACCACGCTTTAAGCAGAGAGAAGAGAGGCTCGACTGCTTGGAGTCTGCAGTGTCCGTGACTTGCGGTTGATTTTGATCAGCAGACATGACAAATTAATCCCAATGGCCTCTCTGTAGCCATTAATACCCTCAGTCAAACACGCACCCCCGCCTCATCCTCCTGTGATCGGACATCTCTAGCTCTTATCTGGATCCTCTGTTGATTATTCACTGTCTTCTTTCATCATCACATCCTTCAGCACTTTGCCCTTGCCCTCTCTGTCAAAGTCATTAAATCTTTTCTGTCCCGGCTCCAACTCCACACCCCACCTCCCTTTTCTTTTTCTTTGGCTCTAACCTCTGTGGAGGCCTGCTGCACACTGATACATACTAAAGACTAAGTTCAGCAGCTACAGCATCTCAAGTGTGACCACCGCCAATCAGAGCTCACTATTGTAAGAAGTCGACTCTGCAGACAGCTAGACTTTGCTTGACTTGCCATCTGTGGCACTGGGGTTTTCGGAAAGTTCAGGCTTATGATTCAGTGAGTGACTTGTCGTCATAATGGACGAAGCAGTAAAATGAGAATGTTTTTAGACAAATAAAAAGTAAAAAACACATCACTCAGTGGTAGACAGTGATCACAAGATACGAAATCACAAAGAATACACAACAAAACAGTTAGAAAAAAAGATAGATGGAGAGAGGTTAATGAAACAGACATGTTCTTTATCCAACCTTTCTGCAGAAATTGAACCTCAGTGACATCTAGAGTTCAGCGTCAGCTCCTGTGCACACAGTAGTGTATAAGACAAAATTCAAAACAAAACCCCTAAACATTTAAAAGTGATTCATATACATGTTTCCACTACAACTAGCCAATGAAAAACTAACAATATGGTTCCTATGACAGATCCCTGTGGAACACCTTGGGTGTCAGATCAAGAATTTCTTCAAGGCTAGAACTAGCAAAAAATTTCAATGGAATATGCCTGTATTGAACAGAGTATTTATTTGATAAATATTTGCTCAAAAGTTCATGGTCATTGCAACTTGAATTGCCAACGGGGATCATACAGAGGATGCCACATCACAACTTTGATCTGGCGTCCTATTTTTTGTGCCTTTGCTGCTCTAACCGGCATCTGCACCAAAACATCTGGAGCACAGCGAGACTGTACGGCCGTTTCATGGCACTGTAGTCAAAGACTGGAGGCTGTGCAGTCCACAGAGACGCAGTAAAACCAATCATTATAGGAAACTGCTGTTGGGACTACTGAAAAAAATATTTAACAAAGTGTGACCGCAAATTGAGCCACACAGGTCTTACATTAATTAAAAGGTTTCAAAGACTTCACTGTGTACGGCGTCAGTGGTGGGGGGAGGAGGTTTGGAGTAAAAATATTCCAGGCTTAAATATGCAGTGAAAATACAGGCAGAGCGAGTTCTGTTTAAATAAATGTGTCGCGGAACACAACATTCACTACGCTAGTACTGTTCATCATAACAAACGCCTTAAACTTCGCCTCAGGACTGTACTGTTGATTTCAGATGACGGTTAAACAGAGGTGGAACAAAGACAGAACGCCTCCAAACGTTTTAAGTCTCGATAAAAACAGGTGGTTAATTTCCAGTCATAAATGACAAAGACCGTTTCTGTTTGACTCACGTGGAGACACAGAGGCCATCCATCTTGAATATGCAGCCCATGACGCTGCGACAAGGAGCCTGTTGCATTGTTCCGACTGGAGAGGGAGCAGGTCACCACAGGCCGACCGGCTGAATGACAGGGGGTCGGGGGGCCACATGCGGCTATTGTGGCAGTCTCGTTCCATCGCTGACAAAGAGAACCTCATGGTACTGAAACAGGCTGTAGCACCATTGTGCGGACTCCATTTGCTCCGGCAGACAAAGGCCCAGAGAGCTTAAACAGGCTGATTGCCTGTGGTTCGTCAGGTCAGATGCAAACTGCAGTAACAGCTCGTACAAAGACCATCTATAATGATCATAATCAGTCTGACTGACCCCACGGCAGCAGCGTCCACACTTCTCATAATGTTTGCAGTAGTCCAGCGCCAACTGCTTCTCCCATGACACTCGAGGTTGTGATAAAAATGCACTTCTTTTTGACACATGTATTCAGTGGCTAACCAGTTTAACTGACCTTTTGAATGTTTTGATTTAGGCAGCCCAGTTTTGACAGATGAGTGCTTTGTATATTTCTTTTTTTTTTCTGCCAAAAAAGGGAACAAAGGGAATTGTGGTGGGCCCACAAGTTGGCCACAGCTAAATAAACATCTAAATTGAATCCATAAATTAGTATTGTACGCAATTAGCTAAATTACCAAAAAGACAAAGTCATCTAATAAATAGAAAAGGCATCCAAGCAAAAACTGAAGTTGAACATCAGTCTGCAGCTAGAAAATACCCAGTGATATTTCAAATTAAACTACATTTGAGAGAGTCTGAGATGATATGATAAAAAGTGCTAGCAACCTATGGCAGAAAAAGTGGTTCCATAGTGTAGTGGTTTTCCCTCCTGCCTTACACACAGAAGATTCTGAGTTTGAGCCCCTTAATAGCGCCTCCTGTGGCAGCAGGTGTGGGTTGCAAAGACTCACACTAAATTTCCCCATTGTTGAACAAATTAGGGACTTAATTAACTAGCTAAAGATAACTAATAGCTCAAATGTTATAAATGTGATTGAAAAAAAATGTACCAAAACATCTGAACTTTAAATAAAAGTTAGTTTAAGGAAGTAAAACAGTTTGGGATTGTCCAAATAGAATCTATTTCACTCCAATCTAAATCAATCTGTCCTTCGCTCTAAAAAATTTAGGTTGGAGTCGGTCCAAGCGATGATTGGCAGCCGGTTGAACTTTTTAAAATCCTCATAGGTGCAGCCATAAAAGTTAATAATAATTATCCTTCGAGAAAATGCGAAACACACATTTAACTTTCAATCTGTAATGCTTATTTTCTCGGTCTGGGTGCCGCTGCCTCTCCTACAGAGAGTCCCAGGACTGCAGCGGTAACCAGCAGAGTCAGGAGGGACCAGGCTCACAGCCACAGATATTTTTACAAGCCTCCTAATTGGATTTGTAACAGAGCAGCGGTTGTGCAGTTTGAACTTTACTCAGGCATCGCTCTGCCTTAGATTTGAAGGACTGAAAAGACGCTACATGTTTACACCTTCACCCGGTCGTATTTGAATCAGTCTTTGGCCAAATCTTAGCTCAGCCTTCGCCAACTGTTTGTTTCTGCTTCGTATTTGACGATATCTTTAAACTAAGTTCTTTGTGTTTTACTGACTCTCCTGAGCTTTTCATTTTTATTATTTTTGGCACCCTTTGATGCTACGGTATTTTGTTATTTCTTAGTCAGTTAAGAGTGAGAGATTAGGTACAAATAGAGCAGACATTTTTTTCCATCTAAATGTCAACCAATTCAGACAGCTATTTGTTGTGGTCGAAGGTTATATTTGCAAGTAATATTCGAAAATTCAATCCTTTTTCAAAGCCGCAAAACGCATTTAAAGATTTAAGGAGAAACTAATGCATGTCAGTGTTTGAAAAACAGCACAACGTTCTTGGACAACAGCCATCTCCGCTTTAGCCTTTCTGTAAGAGGCCACTGGTGTTTTGAGATGATTATGGAGTGTGTCCTCAACCCACTATCCCCCTGCTGAGTGTGTGTGTGTGTTGCAGCCTCTTGACATTCCTTGTGAAGCATTTAACAAGTGGAGGGCCACAACATTGTGGAAGGTCAGGAAACAAAGACACTGAACTGGACACAACTGCTAAAACCACGGCTCATCTACATCTGCGGAGCAGCGACCGGGCCAATTAAAGTGTCTGTCACAACTTGTTATCAACTTGTTCACCTCAACCTCCTACAGGAATTAACAGGGAGATCCATATTGTTTTCGAGGTAGAACCATCAATTTGCAGGTGACTGACCTTGTGCCATGTTTGTGTGTCTGACCACAGGTTCCTCTTATTATGACAACGTACGGCCGCTGGCGTATCCGGACTCAGATGCCGTCCTCATCTGTTTCGACATCAGCCGCCCTGAGACTCTGGACAGTGTCATTAAGAAGGTCAGTGCTTTTTTTAAATTAAATGTTCTCCTCCTAACCGTGTGGGTCAGCGCTTTATGTCTGCCGCGACACCGGAGAGAGGTTTGGACCAAAGAAAATGTGTTTCCTCTCGATCAGCATCTTATGTCCACTTAGATTTCTGTGGTAGCAGGTTGCATTTTCATGACTCGACAATAGAGCAAAATCAGCACACAGGTTCGAGCCCCTGCCAGCCCTTCAGCTCATTAAAAGTCTGGAGGATATTTAACCGCTTCACTCAGACGATGGAAGGTCAGGCGGGAGAAGGAGAAAGGAGGATTTTGTAGCCGGGCCGAGTTTGAAATGAATATCATCTGACACACGCATTAGTTGCACCGGTCTTATCAAAGAGCTTCTGCAGAGCCATGTCAGCAATCATCTACGGTAAAAGGTCCTGGACTTATGTAGCACTTTTATAATCTTGACGACATTCAAAACACTTTTACACTGCATATCGTCACCAATTCACACCCATTCACTCAAACACTGTTTACACACAAAGCTGCCGCGAGCAACTGTGGGATTGAGAAGAGTGTGTCATCGGCATAAGAATTATTTAACAACTAGCCACAAAAATGTGATGATGACGATCTGTGTGCAAAATGGACACCTTCAAGATGGACATGATTGGAGGTTATTTTCCTTTACCTAAGGGATACTGTTTTGAGAAAATCAATGTTTTTCAACACTTGCTGTTGAAGCACATCCTCTGTTTTCAAAGTTGACATTGTAGTAGTGGTACATCTCCACTAAACGGCAA